TTGATGGAAGAACTGCTGAAATAACACAGGTCAAATTTGAGCAGCCACCCAACTGAAATTGTAAGACCTCGTGCTCCCAACATAAAACAAGGGAAAACGAACCTTCCTGCACAGTCACAGACTTGCTGTTCTGTTAAAGTCAGCAGAAAGGTGGTTATATAAAAATTCGCAGTAAACCAATCACTAATTACAATGCTTCGATTCCATTAAGCATATATCGATCAGTAAATTAAATCAACTATGCATGCCACTTCCAAAATGTAAACTAAATCATCCCTGCACAGTTTAACAGGAACATATATCTTATCGTTGGATTCCACCCAATCACACCGAAGTCACATAATTTTCCAGGGTTTAATTCTCCATCAAACAATCAACCAAAACCTCAAAACATTTGGGGAAGGATCGCGGACCTGCTTGTAATGAACCTCGACGGTATAGGAGAGCAGCATGGGCGTGATGTCCCCGGCGTCGGGGCGCGAGACGGCGACGATGGACGCCCTGGGCAGCTCGTCGAACACCCGCGCGGCGTCGGGCACCCGGAGCGATGCTGACGCTGAGGCCGCCAGGACCTCCGGCCGCCGCTCGGGCTCCCGCTCCTGGTCCGCAGGCGCCGCTTCCCCTCGAGGTCCGCCTGCGGCGGCAACCGCGCATAACGGTGGTGACCGTGACGCGATCCCGCCGGCGGCGGTAGGCGCTCCAGGTTCATGGATGATGGATGCTTCGGGGAGGAAGGGCAGCTGGGACGGGAACGGGATCGATCTGATGGAAGGGGATGGACGTGTCGGTTTGCTGGGGTTTTTTTCTTGGGACTGCCGGAAACGCCAGATGGAACGGGAATGGGGCATATTTAACTTTTTTTTTTAGCCTGGATTCACTACAAGTTGTAATATTTGTACTCTACACAACACATTCACACCACCATACACACGCACAACCCTAAAAGCTACAACATATACACATCAAACATTCTTCTGGAGATCACTGAAGCCACATGAGCCTCATAGACAACGGGCACGTCGTAGTCCCATTGTAGCACCATGTAAGTGTTCAGGACCTGCACGAAACAAATATGGGGAAAAAACCCCTGCGACACATGTTCGTCCCACCTGGGAATCGAACCTGGGAGTTGTAGCCACCGCGCTACGAGCGCGTTCGCATTTAACTTTTAGCATTATAACGGATGTTAACTCTTCATATAACACTTTTTAAATTGCTCATACATATTTACCATCCAGAGAGAAGAATTCATAACTTTAAACAATTTTTGCATACGTGGCAGGACATGTAGGGAAGCCAACGTGTCTGTGGGATGTGAAATGACTTTGTTACCCCTCATCTATTTCTTTTTCGTCCGTCTCATCCTCATCACTTTGTAAAGATGCATCCCGGCCAACGCGCCTCTCAGCTCCGCCTCCTCCTCCCTCTTAGACGCGAGCAGCAGCAGATGAAACCGGCGAGCACGAGGTCTGCACACCACCCCAGCTAGCAATGCTGCACCGATGGTGAATGCAGGCACGAGATCCGCGCGCGCGTGGGCTCTACCGCAGCGTGCGTCCCCATCCCCGGCGTGCCTCCCCCATGGTCGGCCGCGCGAGATCCAGTCCTCCCCTTCCGGTCGCTGCTCCCCCATCCCCGGCAGCGCGCGAGGTCCGACTCCTCCCCTTCTGGCAGGAGAATGGTTTGTCAATAGAGAGCAGAAATCAACTATTAGTAAGAGGTGAAAGCAAAAGAGACCCAATCTGTTGAAGCCAAACTGATCAATACGAACCCAAGTAGGGTTTCGTCTATTAGAGGCGAACAGCTCGTCTACATATAGATTGTCGTCCATAGCGAAGGGGAGCGAGCCACCGCGAGCGCTGGGAGAGGTAGATCCCACAGGGAGACATAAGAAGAGAGAGGGGGGAGGAACCAAACCGACGAGGGGACGACCCGAGGAACATCGGAGTGCCCGGGAGCACGGACGGGCCAAGGGAGAGCGGAGCCACGTCGGCCGGTCAGAGAGGTCGCATGAGGGGGGCACATGGCATGAAATTTGGCTGTCGCTGGGGCCCACGCACCAGCAGGCAGCAACATGGATGTCGTCCACGGGGTCTGCCTGCCAGGGGTGGGAGGAAGGGAGGGGCCGGCAGAAGCCAGGCGGCGCGGGCGCCGCCGCCGCTTGCCAGGAGGGAAGGGAGAGGGGAAGGGAGAGAAATGGAGAGAAGGCAGAGAGAGGGAGCTCGAGCGAGGAAGGGACAGAGATAGAAGAAATAGATGAGGAGCAAAAATGTCATTTCTCATGGCCGGTCTATGCTGTCAGGTCGAGTTGGCGTGTCAGGTCGAGTTGGCGTACCACGTTAGCGAAAATGGCAATAATGTATCAAATGCTCTCTCTCGATGATGAATACGTAGGGGCAATTTTAAAAGTGATATCTAAAGAGGTGATATCCGTTATATGCCATGTTCGCTTCTCTTATAATCCATCTTTTTCAGTTTGTTTTTTTAGCCGGAACAGTATTTTCTCTCACAACAAATCGCCGGAAATAGTGTTTCGACTTGTTTTTTCAACGAAGCAAACGGGACGATAATAGTAAAAAGTTAAATATCCGTGGAATGGAAGGGAAGGGAACCGTCCGAATACAGAATGGAAGTTTTTGTAGCTAGGGACAGTTTGACTCTGGAGATGGTGGGGCCTGTGCCACCTGGTTCGTGGGACATTTCCGTGGAAGCACCTCCATTGTTTTTAATCTTGTTTATACGCACTCATGCACATAGGGATGACAATTGAACCCGCGGGTGAATGTGCTTTACTTTATTTCAACGACAAATTAGTAAACAACTAAGGCTCGTTGGATCCTTCAGATTTTAAGAAACCGGATAGAAAAAATTATCATCTAAACGGTCCAGATTTTATAGAAATTTTAACTCACAGATTTTTAGAATCTCAAAATTCAATAAAACTATAAGAATTCTTTTTATCTGGATTCTCAAAATCCCTTAGGAACCAAATGGCACCTAAAAAGACGTATGTATCTCTGCTCTTTTTTATTCTCCTCTTATTTTGATTGGACCAAGGCAAATGATTGCATCCCAGAACTTTATACATTATTGCCATCATGCATCTATATGACACCATTTCAGGATACCATACCTAGAGCTTATTATTAGTCCTAAGTTAGAGTTGTATTCTTTTTGAACAACATTTGAATGCTAGAATAGCATTCTTTCCTCATGAAGGTAGTGTGTCCCATGGTTGTCGTGTTTTATCTTAGCTTATGGGCTATGTTGACTAGGGTTATCCAACATTGATTTTTGTGCTAAGAAGAGAGAGAAAAAGATGATATATATGTAATATAACACATCTTTTTGCATAAAGGGGTGTTATGCTACCATTTGGTACCAAGAAGAGAGAATAGTGGATGAACAAATGGGGTGAGTCGAGAGAGAAAGGGAAATTTTGTTTTTTTTTTTTTTTGTTTTGGTGGGGTGCAAAAAACAAAAGTTTAAAACAAGCTAGACCAGGACAACTATAGTATCATATAAGTTAGGCAAACAAGAATTATATAAGCTAGCTTATGAGTTGAGATGTTAGGGTATGGTTGGTTCCTCACATTAATATTGCATTGCATCATGGTTTATGCATCGCACCTTTAACCCAGACAAGGATGCAACAACAGCCTGTGTTTGAGGAGAATGCTAGCTTGCATGTAGGTTTGTGCAAGCAACCAAACAGGAGCAAGGCCATGTTTAGTTACACCAAAATCCAAAATTTAACACTATGTAAAAAGAAGATTCCCTGTCACATCAAACTTGCGGTACATGTATGAAATACTAAATGTTGATGAAATCAAAAACTAATTGCACAGTTTTGTGGTAATTTACGAGACGAACGTTTTGAGCCTAATTAGTCAACGATTGGACAATTATTACCAAATAAAAACAAAACGACACTGTAGCTACAGTTCGCTACAGTTTTCAGGCGGCGCAGAGTCGGGCGAACTAAACGTGGCCCAAAATACACTTCGGGTCTGGATAAGAGGGTTGTCCAGGAAACCAATTAGACCCATGAGCTGTGGATAAACACACAAGCTTTTAGTCAACCTAATGAACCATTGTATAGATATTTAGAAGCTATAGTCAATTAATTCTCTCCGGATATACTAATCATGTGCATAACATTGTATAGTTTCAATCCCCTATACATGTTAGCCTATATAGCCGAGCGTCCCAGCGGTCGTGCCTCGGTGAGCCGCGCCCCTAGCGGGCGGCGCCTCGGTGGGCTGCGTTCCCGTGGGGCGGTGCCCCGACGAGCTACGCTCCGACGCAGGGCGCGCTCCGGCAAGCTATGCTCCCGACGGCCGTGCTCCGTCACGCCTCCCTCACACGAGCGTCGCTCTCTCTCTCTCTCTACGCTTAGGACAAAAGCTGTCTTTTGTGCACATTGGGGCTCACAGGTGGGAGATGAAAGCTGGAATAAGCTATCATTTTCAGCTTCATCCCAACTCATTCTTTTGTGAAAGGAGATAAAAAAAACAACTTTACCTATAAAACTGTTGATGAAGCTGAGCCAAACGGGCCTAAAAATGTGTTTCAGTTTGGTCGGCCAGATTTTTATGACAAAAGAAAGCAAACATGTTCTCTCTCTATATAGATCTATTAATAAGTCAAAACTTAGACTTTTCAAATAGGAGCCAACAACCTTCTTGAAGCAACGATTTTTTTGAAAGAAAAACGCAGCAGCTGCAACTGCAACTGCAAAATACTCCCACAGACGGAAGAAGAAAACGAGGAACCATTCTAGAAGCAGCTGATACTTGACCGCTTCAACTTACGCCAGCTTAATACCAGCCGAACAGTCCCGACCGACTGGTCCACGCACGCGCTGAATTGAATACATTTTACTGATGACATCTGATCCAAGCTTCTGAAGAAGAAACCCGGCGAAAGAAGGCCGAAGGATTCGCGTCGGCCGTTGCGGCAGCCAAAGCCAGGTGTAGCTAGCTTCATGTCACGTCACGTCACGTCACGAGGTAGATGGGCATCACCGGAGCGCCTCCAGTGCCACCACCGCCGGCGAGGCTAGTGGACCTGAGGCTGACGTAGGGAACCGCCACCACTGCAGCGGCGCCGAGCTCGGCGGCGGCCAGGCGGCTGCCGGACCGCACGGCCGGCGCCCAGCACGTGCACGCGGCCGCGCCGTCGTCGTCGTCCCCGCCACCACCAGCATCGTAGTCGGTGAGGTAAAGAGGCGCGGCGGTGGTCGACGCCGCGGACCCGTACGGGGGAGTCGGAGCTACTGCGGCCGCGGGTCTGATGGAGGAGGAGGGGCGCTTCTTGAAGAGATGGAGCGCGGCGGAGGCGGCGGAGCTCCACCACCGGCGGCGCTGCTGCTTCTGCAGGTGGTGGTGGTGCTTCTTGGAAATGGGCTTCTGGAGCTTGAACCGCGCGGAGTCCAGGGGCTTCAACTGCGCAGGCTGGTGCTGGTGGTGGCGCTGGCGCCTACCCCACAGCCGCTTCACCTCAGGCTGGGGGAACAGAGGAACCACACCGCACGTCAACAAGATGCAATGCAATGCAAGAACCAGCACCAGCAGGCGTGAATGTCTACTCCTTTTTCAGGATGTGGCTGTGTAGAGATGGATGGACCTGGGAGAAGAAATGGAGGAGCTGCGGGTCCAAGCCGTAGTCGCTGAAGTGGTCCGCTCCGGCTCCGGCTCCGGCTCGGCGGCGGCGGGCGCGGGGAACGGGACAGTAGTGGCACTGGCACTCACGGCCGCCGCTCGCTTCTTCCCCATCGCGACCGTGCCCTCTCAGTTACCCGTATCCTCTGTGTGCACTGTGCAGTGCAGAGCCAGCCAGCTTCGTCGAGGTCTGATCTGCAATTTGGAGGGAAAGAAACGGAGCCCGGGGAGGGTAGAAACAAGGAACCACGCGAACTCCCCTCTTCAAAAACCACGCGGGATTTGGAAAAGAAGGCCGTGGAAGCTGCGATCTCGTTGTACGTTTCTTGGAAGAGCTCACAGTAACCGATTTATCGATCCAAGTTTTTATCATGCCTGGGAAGCGCCGCGGATGTTTGGGGAGATGGGCAGGCAAGCTCGAAGACTGAATTGAGTGAGCTCGGTGGGTCGGGGGCGGCTAAGCAAAGGCACCGGCCAGCGGCCAGCGGCCAGCAAAGTGACCGTTGCAGCAGCAACTGCTCCCACACAGGCACCCACGCGCGGGCCCCGTGAGAGCGTTCATGGCAGCGGCGCTCCTCTCTTTTTCTGACCTCCTTTTTCAAGCCCTTTTTTCGAATGCTCGGGCCTCGGCTACTTGAAAAGACTGTAAAAGGCAAGTTGTCTACTACTCGTCTGTCCGTCGATCTTTTTATTTTTGACCAGCCAACCGGCAATTCGACAATGCACACCGGCGCACTCTCTGCTCTCTGCATTTTTTCGGCAACACAAAGGCCCCGGCATTCCCGGTTTCGGACTTCCCTGTCCTGAGAAGATAAACTGCTCCGCGCGAAAGAAACTTGCGTTTCATACTTTCATGGACTCTCAGTCCATCAATCAAACAAACAAAACGCTTCACGTCAACATGACAAGATTCTGTCCGTCAAGGCGGTAAACATCTCGGGCAAATCCATTAGATTCGTCAGCAGTGTATGGGCTTCGCCTGGTGAAAAAAAGCCAAATAGGCCTGTGTCTGCCGCGGTACAGAAATGTGTTGTTGGGCTGGACCCGTGCCTACGTTGGGCCCAACCTGGACCTGGTGGAAGAGAAGCACCGCGCCACCCATCGCAATTCGGACCTCTCTTCCCCGTCCGCGCGTGGGCCTTATTGGGTCCAGTCCAGTTGAGCATGTGACTAATAAATAATCAATGCTGCCTTTGACTGTTTCTTTTTTGTTTATTTACAAATGTTCATAATAAAATTTCTCCATAAGATCAGAGTTTTGCGTTGTTATGCTTGCTTGTAGAAATTTGAAAAAATAATTTTGCATGATAATACAAGACATTAACATGCAGAGTTAATTGAACAAACAAAGACATCCATTTATAATGTTGCAGAAATAGTAAATTTCTATTTCTTTAAGAAAGGAAATTTTATTCTAGCATCTGCAGGAATTTTGCACTCCCTCTCTCTCTCTACATAAAATACATTACACGAAGATTCAACAAGAATACCTAAACAATACCTACAGATTAAAAAGGAAGTTAACACAGAAAATTGAGTCAAATTGACAAAAAGAATGATACATTGAAAATGTTCCACGTTACAAAAACAAAAAAAGGTTCATGAGAGAATTATTCAAATTAAATACAATGTTGTACCTTCATGATAAAAATATTCCAACTTCAAAGATATTTTTAAGATTTGTGATAACAATTATCTAAGTTGATAAGAAAATGCTCCAAGTCAGAACTCCGAAGAACAATATTCCTAGTTCACAAGAAAAAAAGTTTTCAATTTGAACGGTTTTTTAAAGATTTGCGAGAAGAATTATCTAGGTTGATAAGAAATTGCTCTAGGGTTAGAAGAACATATTCCTAGTTCATGAGAAAGAAGTTCTAGCTTCATGAGAAAAACTATTATGGGTTTAGAAAGACAATGGCCTAGCTTTATGAAAAAAATATTTTCTAATCTGACAAAAGAATGTTCCAACGTTATGAGAAAAATGTCCTAACTTCACAAGATGTCACAAGTTTAGAAGAAATTTGTTCTCCAGCCTCATGTGAAGAATGTTCTAGCTTCACGAGAAATACAAAATGATCCAGCTTCACAAGAAGAATGTTATATCTTCATGAGAAAAACAAATTGTTCTAACCTCACGAGAAAATATATCAAGCTTAGGAGAAGAATGTTTTAGGTTCAAAAAACAATATTTCTAATCAGCAAAAAAATTGTTGTAACTTTATGAGAAGAATATTCTAGCCTTCATGCAAAAAGCAAAATATTCTAGGTCCACATTAAGGATTTTCTAGGTTAACAAAGGAAATGTTCTAGGTTCCTAGAAGAATGTTTTAGGTTCATGAGAAACTATCCCCAGGTTCAAAAGAATAGTATTCTAGGATCATAAGAAAATTTTCCATCTTCACAAGAGGAACGTTCTAGCTTCATTTGCAAAGAAAAATGTTTCAACTTCACAAAGAAGAAAATTGTGACTTCATGAGAAAACCAAAATGTTCTAGATTCATAAGAAAAATATTGTAGCTTCTAGCTTGGTAAGAAACTGCTCTAGGTTTAGGATAAAAATAATTTTAACATTACAAAGAAACAAGTTAAATTAAATAAAACAAAAACAAAAACAAAAACAAAGCAACAAAGAAACGGGCCTAGTAGTCCTCTTGGGCTGACATTACAAAAGAAACGGACTAACGTTGTAAGAAACAAACCCACATGCGGGGCTTGGTCAGCGGCGCGACGTCTTTGATTTAGAGATTCTGCTGCGAACCTTATCTATTTTAAGGGTCTAAATAATTTTAGAAAACCAGTTTCAGTATCAAATTTTACAAATGATCTTGGAGTTGCTCTTAATTACTTGTCCAGGTACATAGTTAGAAATGCATTTATTTTGGAACGACCTTGACAACTTGTGTCGTGCTTCTCCCCTCTTAGACCTTGTTTGGATGCATGTGTATCCATTTTAATCCACATGTATTAGAGTGGAATGGAATGGAACTTAGTTTAATTCCACTTCAATCCACGTCAACACATGTGGATTAATATGAATACATGCAGATGCATGTATATCAATTTCAATCCACATGTATTGAAGTGGAATGTTATGGAACTTAGTTTAATTCCATTTCAGTCCACATCAACACATATTGATTAAGATGAATACATGCGTATTCAAACGAGGCCTTAAAATTAAAGAGAAGTATTGCTGAAAAAATGTGAGGAGAAAAAAATGCGTCTTCTGTACACATTGACTTTTTTGCGCTACGACGTCGAATGTGTATACATTGACTTTTGTACTTCTGATCAAACAAACCTGTACACAATTAATACTGACCTCGCACTGCAAATACGCATATTATTCAAACCTTATTGGTCTATATTTTTCTCTCCCCATGTGATACCATTTCTTCTTTCTAGCTCGATGTGAGAATCTCTAAAAAAAAAAAAAATGCAGTGTCAAAAGGAAACGCGAAATAAAACAACTAGCGCACTCTCCGAGTCTCCAACAATTTGGGCGTTTTCTATGAAGATCAGTAACATTAAAAAACCCCTCCCTATTTATTTTATTTGCATGCGGCGCCAACGGATTCATACTACCTATTAACTCGTCGCCTCAAGGCTAATAATATAGCCGAGCTCTTCACTCACCACAAAAAATGGTGGACTTCTCCTAGTGTTTTTAAATAGTAATAAAATAATACCACTAGTCATAACACATGAGAATCTCACAAGAAGACGTTTAGTAGGAAAAATTTATACTAAATTTTGAATGCTAAAACACTAGAAGAAACCCATCTCACTAGGAGAAGTCTAAAATTATGGTTGTGACTATTAATACATGGCTAATTTATCTCTCTCACAAAGTTTCTCGACTCTTGTGTCTAAGCCGGCTGCAAGCTTATAGCCCGTGTCTCTTCTCTCTCCTCTTCTCTCCCCTCCGTCTCAACATTCAACCCGCTTACAGTCTGCTATTATACTTGCTCTTATTCTAAACCAGTCCAAATGGCATTGTCAATCCACCCAACAAATCTACATATATATGACTTCGAGAAGGATCTGCCGCTTTCAACGAATTCTTTACAACTAACCTGTCATTAGCAGGGTCCTCATCACATGGACACATGCAGAGCCATCTGAGATTATTTTATCCTCCTATATGTGAATTAAAAACCGTGTAAACAAATGCTGCCATTATCTCGTTCTCGATCCCCATTGGATATGGCTTTGGTCGACCAGTTGCGTATAGACAAGTCGGCAGTGACTCGGATGCCAAATCAGCTGTGTACAGGGTGGAACAGGCGATTGTATATGCCAGTGGTTGTCAAGTGGTTCTCTAAAATACCGAGCGAGAGACATAACTAATCTGTGCTTTGTCTACTTGGCTCGAAGGAGAAGGCATGAAGGCATATGAATTGACTTATGAATATGTTATTCTGTGTTATACTACTATACAAGTTGCCCGTTTGAAGCGTAGATCGCCGCCTATTGCAACGGTACGTTCTTCTTTGTTTCTCCCCTCAAGTTGTCTATAAAAATAACATTTAGAGGTTGTTTGTTTGCTAGCCATAACTTGCCACCACATAGGTTAGGCAAGGTTGACACACTTTGGCAATTATTTGGTTGCCGCCACAAAGTGTAGCGAGATTTCCTTTCAGTAAATTAGGTACCATGTGTCAATGACTAAAAAAGTACGACAAAATTCTCTTAAACTTAGTGTAACAAATTTTTTAGCGCATAACTTAGACAAGTGTGTAAAAATATAGTGCCAACTTGTGGCTAGAAACTAAACAAGCCCTTAACCTTGCATATTTTCACATGCAGTTTGTGAGGATTTTGTTCTGCCTAATATATATAGTGCATTTTGACTAAATAGACATATTTTAATACTTATATTGCTAAGTTTACAGGGGTATATAGCTTGGAAATGTGTGTAGTAAGTTATATGTGTAGATTTGTATTCAAACTTCTTAAAAAGATTATTTACAATGGAAGGATTCTAATTCTAAGAATATATTTAAGTTACTGGTCACAGACAATGCAAAGGCAAATGTGTCAAAGTGTTTTTATCGAAGGGAATAAAATTGTAACAGAGAGACGGAATGGCATTCAAAGTCCTAATTGCATAA